TTCAAGTTGTGAGAATTTTTCTTATTGTGGATAGAAAAAAAATCATATAAGTATATATTAATCTTTACATATTTTTAGTCAGCAGTTAAATTTAATATATTAATTTTTATAATATATTTTAACCATGTTTAAAAATATATTCCCTGTTTTCTTTTTCATAAAACATTATTGAAAAATTTAGAGTTTTTATTATAAGATATTTTATAATTTACATGAAACATTTATTATTTTCCTCATTATCTTTAATTAATGGAATTAGTGAGAACTTAAATTAAAATCAAGAAAGGTAAATGTTGATAATAGAGTTAAATTCAATGATAAAAAATGGATAAAATTGTAATGTTTTAATTTTTTTTAAAATAAAATATTTCAACTATTTTTATTTATTTCTATAATTTTATTATGTACTTGAAAAATTGAGCGTCTAAAAGTAATAAAGTTTTATTAAGAAAGAATACATTTATTACATTGAAGTTATGAAGGTAATGAATATTTTATTTTTAAACAAAACTTATTAGTATTAATTATTTAAATTAAATTTTAAGGTTTGAAGTTAACATTTTTAATACAAATATATCTTTTAATAAAAAATTATTATTTGCAATTGTTAATTTTAACTCCAACTAAGACCAACAAAAACCACAAACCATGAAGAAAATCCTTATAAGAAAAAAGTGTAAAAGCATGTTAAGAATTTTGCTTTGGCACGAAAATTGAGCTCTGTTTGGCGGTTTGTCTTCGTATATTTACGATTTGCCATATAAAGATAACATCTTATCATAATTCAGGGGAACTGTAGGAAAACTTGCGTATTCCACACAAAAAGTGGTAAATTCGTCATTTTTAGGTTGTAAACTTTTTTTGTATTTCTTTTTAGTCCTTCTTTTATTCTGCATAAAAGTGTAGCGCTAATTAATATTTAGTTTAAGCCCTTTCTCATTGCAGAAACCATTCATTTCTGATTTTGTGGAGGAGAGGTTAAAGCATCGCATCACAGCACGACTCAGAGATAACACACCTCGGAGAATGCTGATGGTGAGTCTGTGTTAGTCTTCCAAGGATGCTTTTGTAGATTCATAAACTTCCTTGAAAAGGGTATCGTTGCATGATGATGATGAAGATCACAAAACAAAAACGGACAAGATCCGTTGCTCCTCAAATTTGGATGCTTTTGAATTATTGCTATCAACGTTGGAAAAACAAAAGAGAGGGGTTTACTGGATTTGCCAACGCTCTGCATCGCCCAATTGAATCCTTGAGGAACGGCAAATCCTATTCTAAGGTTTTTGCATTAAAATAATCAACTCCGATATTATTTATAAGAAATCATTAATCAAAATATTATTTTTTATTAACAGGATAATGAGAGTACTTTATAATTTATGGGGAAAAACCAGAGGTCGCCCATTATATGTCTGGACTTACTGGCAAATTGCATACTATTATAACGGGGGTTATTATTGCCCTTACAGTTTGATTTATCTGAGCCGTTTAATTCGATCTCTATATCTAATGGCCCACATTAACTTGTGTTGGATACTCAACTTGGAGATTTGAGTACTTTATATTCCATCCATAATTTCAGAATCTAATGTCATTGTTTTTTCTCCCTCTCATTCACCTCTCACACTCACCAAAAAGAAAGATAAAAAGAATGCTTCAATTGGTGTTTGCTGTGGCTTTCTCTGCTGTGCCTCTCACTTTGTACATTCCACCCATACGAAGCTTCAACCTTTTCGTTCATACCATCCAACACTTTCTCCAAGACTCCATCTTCTTCTCCCTTCGTAATTTTCCTCGCATCAGATTCGCTTTCTCTCGCATCTTCAACTCCGTCACCAACATAACCTGGTAGATCCTACCCTTTTCTTATTTTTTTCCCTCAATCCTGGAAAAACTTAAACTTTAGAGTTGGGGTGTATTATTTTACATACACGGATGTGTAAACGTAACTATATGTTATTGCCATAACATGATTGATTCATGAATAAAGAATCATCCTTGACTTAATTATCTCCCTTCTGGTATGCTTAATGTTGTCTTGAAGGATCTTTCCGCCATTTTGATGTTGTTGGATTGTTGCAATTTTTTCAAGTTATTGTAATTTTGGCTTGATGGGATTTTACTGAGATCCAATAATTCATTTTTACAAGTAGAAATTGAGGCTACGAAAATTGCTGTGTGGGTTAGGATTAAAATTTGTTAGTTGGAAGAATATCTCGGTCTTTTTCTCTTGTGGGTGTTCCCTTTGACTTGAATTGTTACTGAAGTCATCAATTGGTGGTTGGTCTTTCTATCATCCATCTTCCCTCTCGGACGGAGCCCCTAACTTCGGTATTGGGCAGAAAGCACGGTGCAATGTCGCACGTTGAAGGACCACAAACGTTATTTTTTAAATTTGCGTGTCAAAATAAAGTTTGTTCTCAAAATCATTTAATTATAAGTGAAAAATGCAACTTCTATGTAGATGTTGAATAGATAAGTATCCAAAATCAAATACGTAATCACTGATCAATGTATTTGGTACTAACCACTATTTCAACAAATAAAACGTAATAGTATGCAATTTACCAATGATCTAGTGCCATAAATACGTAATTTAGTGGAGCGAAGATGCGGGTAGAATTTCATAAAGTCAACCATTAGCTCATTGTCATAAAACCGAAAGTTAATTTACTCTTATTTTAATTTGAACAATCGAAAATAATTTATACTTTATTGTGGCTGATGGAATGGAGTCTCACTGTTGCTGACGACAAGATGACAGGTCGGAACGTTCCCTTCATCTCGCGCTCGTTATTCTAAGGTTGTTCATTAACAGTGCTTACCCATAGAATGATATCCATTATCCATTGGTATAAAATAAACAAAATAAAGAAAAAAATATATTGACATCATATATAATAACTTTGTTTAATTTTCTTGCAAAATTAAAGTAATATACAGCTCTACTTGTGTATATTGTAATAATTAATATAAATAATTATTACATAAACAACATCTATACTTTTCTTTAATGTGTTGATAAGGGTTTAATTTTATCGTGTGTGTGAAAAAAAAAAAATTAAGAGAGGCAAAATTTGCGAGTAATTTCTATGTTTTGAAGGAATTAGTCTCCACTTATCAATAATGGGATATCCTTGATAGAATATAATGCACTACTGAAAGTATTTTTTTAATATTATGCATTTTATTTTTAATTTAATTATAAAAATTATTGATTATATATTATTAAAATTACATAATCTAATGTATTGGTAATAATAAATGTTATAATTTTTAATAAAAAAATTATTTATATACTCAATCATATTAAAAAATCATTTTTAAATTATTAAAAATAATTATTTTCTCCCAAGATCTATGTATGTACCCATTATCATGCCATGAAAAGTGGGAAAACTTAAATGTAATGTAATTATGTTGTTGACAAAAGAAAAATGTAACTATGTTATCGACACGAAATTATTTGTAATAATAATATGTTTTCAGTTAGTCTTGATTACTGAATAAGGATAACAATGAATGGGGTATTGGTAAGGCATTATAATACCCGTCTCTATACCTGTATTTTAGAAAATTATCAGATTTGATTTGCATGTTCCTTTCCTTCTTAAGCAGAAACATAACATGAATGGTGATGTTGTCCTATTAGCATATCAGCATTATGATTCACATGATTGTCTAATTAAACGATGGTCATGACCATTTCTATCATTTGGTATGATGTATGTATTTTGGGGCATCAATGGTAAGAATATAATTCACCATAGCATGCACATAGAGACAACCTTGGGATAAAGGTGACATGAGTCTCGAGAATCAGGGCGTGTATGGCAGGACAACATGTGAAATATAGGTCGTGATTGGAAAATGCTGAGGTGAGTGCTATTTAAAAGGCTTCTCCTTGAGGACTAATTCAAATCCCGTTGCATAGACATAGAATCCAAGGGTGAGTGTCAGGGTTCATTCAAGACAATCACTGCATTACTTGGAAAAGGTCTTGCAAATATTCTAGATTTCTAGTCACCACCTCAACAACATTTAATGACCCTTTTTATCTCTTAAGTATAATGGACCTTCAAAAAACAAAATTCTAATTTTAATTATTAAATAATACTAATAGGATGTAAAGAATAACATGTAAATTTTGTCCATAAAATTATTGTGTGTCAATTAATTAGGAGGTTTTGTTGTGTACAATCATGACAACTGGGCAGGTACAAAACCCTTGCATGGAATAGAATTGTCATATTATATCAATCAAGGACATTCTCCTGTCCCAAGCATTGTAGCATAGGCTTGTCAACGTCATACAACTCAAAATCCTCTTAAACTTTAACTCACCAACCATCAATTCAAAATCATTGGGGAGATTAAGCTTCAGAGATTTGCATAATTCATTTATTCTAAAAATAAGTAAATACTTACATTTATTTGTCTTAATTTTATTATAGCTTCAGATGATTTTTGACCCGAGTGCCAAAAACTAAAAAAGAATATTTAAAATGAAATGGCCTATCAATGAAAACAACGTTTAAGAGCTTATCAATTATTGCATTAAATTATCTTGCATGGACTATCAATTATCATCAGAAGGGCATTGCATTGAAGTAAAAGAAAAAAAAATGTTAACACGTTATTTAATACAATCTTATAAAAGCCTAGTAAAAACAAAATTATCTAGGTCTTTATTTTAATTTCATAATTTTTACACATTTTTATAATTTTTAATAAATTTTAACTAATAAAAAAGATTGTGTTAAAAGAATGGTTAGAAACTGTGTTATTATGGTAAAGTAAATCGTGTGGATTCTCTAGGTGATCATTATCCGTTAAATCAAAGCAAAGTAAATTGCTGGCAAAGCAAGACCTAATACATTAGTTTTCCCTCTTGTCATTGAAAAGCATAGTGTGATTCATCTCTTCATTCTCTAAAAGAACAAAATGTTATCTTATTTGTTCAGTAAACAAAAGTATAATTATCTACCACGTGTTAAGACCATGCATGCCCATATTTTGAAGTCATCAACCAGTGCTGGCAGTACTAATGCTGTTCATAACAATAACAAGGGGAAAAAAAGGAGAAATTATTTGTAAAGGAAACAAAGAAGATTAAAAAAAGGAAAACAGGATTTGAAACAATCTGAGACTGTGAACGCATCAGTAACGGTCACATGGGTTTTGCTACTTCTCCAAACGTGAACACATTTATACCAAACTACAATCTTGCTCCTACATAACACATCCCGCGCCTTACATGCAGTTCCAAGTATCACCAAGCACTGATACTCTCAGCACCACTTTCCTTTGTTCAACTATTCTCTTTATCAACTATGAATACTTGCAAGAAATCTCCCTTGAAGCCATGGAAGAAGGGGTCAACCAGAGGGAAAGGTGGCCCCCAGAATGCCTCGTGTGAGTATCGAGGCGTGCGGCAGAGAACTTGGGGCAAATGGGTTGCTGAAATAAGAGAGCCGAAGAAGAGAACCAGACTCTGGCTTGGTTCTTTTGCCACAGCTGAAGAAGCTGCCATGGCTTATGATGAGGCTGCAAGGAGATCATATGGCCCAGATGCATACCTTAATCTTCCCCACCTAAAACCCAACTCCAATTCACCTATCACATCTGCAAAGTTCAAGTGGTTCCCTTCCAAGAACTTCATTTCAATGTTTCCTTCTTGTGGATTACTCAATGTGAATTCTCAACCTAGCGTTCATTTAATCCATCAGAGACTACAAGAGCTTAAGCAGAACTCAGTTGTAAGTCAATCTCCATCTGATTCATCCAATGATAAAAGGGCAGAAATTCAGAATGTAGAGAGCAAAAATCATGCAGAAAATCCTCCAAAAATAAAAGATCCTCAAGCATCATCAGAAGATGTACTTGGAGATATTCATGAGAAACCCCAGATAGACCTCCACGAGTTTCTTCAACAGCTGGGAATACTGAAAGAAGAAAGACAGTTGGAAAAAGCTGATAGCTCAGAAAGTTCAACAGTGCCTGAAGCTGTGTTGAGAGATGACAATGATCAACTTGGAGTGTTTTCTGACCAGGGTGTTAACTGGGAGGCATTGATTGAGATGGATGGAATTGCAGATATTCAGGAATCAGAAGCCACTCACCTTTAAGTTTATGACCCAGATGACGACCTTACTTTCTCAACTTCCGTTTGGAACTTCTAAGAAACTTGGTTTTCAAGAAAAGAGAACTGGTTAAGATATAGGTACTTGGCATATCAGCCTGAGCTATAGATCAGACAATTTTGCCTATACAAACTACCCTATTCCTGTTTATGTCTGCAGAATTTCAATCTACTGGTGGAGCTGTACCAGCATGAAAGTAGTAAGAATAGAAGACTACTAGCATAAAGGAGCTCATTTCAGTAGGTGTAGGGATTCAGAATGGAGATAGGAATATTTGTCTGTGAGTAGTAACATAATTTGACTTAGTATTAGCTTTGTTCTGTTATCTGCACCTTAGTTTGGTTCAGGCAGAGAACTAGAGTCTAATATATCACGTCCAACACTTCATTAGATGGATTACTTCTCTTCCCATCATAGAGCAAGACCATGTCTAATGCAATAATTTAACAAATTTTAAGATTTTGACAGTTTCAGTTCAGTAGTACTTTTAAATTCAAAATATGACGTGGTTAAAACTATCATACATTACATATGAAGAACATACAAACAAGGGCAGAGGAGACTAAAAAATCTAGGTCGACGTTATTTAAAAAGTAATGATATTACTGTTCCCCCGCCCAATAGCAATATTAACCCTTGGAATTTATTTGGCCTACTCATTCTGGTACTCAGATGCACTCTGATATTCGCCATGCTCCTCAAAATACTCAATCAATCGCTTTAGAAATCCATCACTACTGACTGTTTCTGTGTCACAGATAAGACAACATTGCCTTCTTGCCCTTGTCACAGCCACATTCATTCGCCGGCGATCACTCAGAAAGCCAACCTGAAACATATATTCAAAGTCTCTTCACAATCTTCATAGCATGTTACCAAAATCTGTCATAGATGATAAAACCTATATGAAGCAAATAAAACTAGCAAACTTGTTAGGAATACCTCATTTTTTGAATTTGATCGAACCATTGATATAATAATGGCTTCCTTCTCCCTTCCCTGGAAACCATCAACTGTTGAGATTTCTACATCCTTCAGCCGGTCCTCCTTGTTTTTCAATATTTTGAGTAAAACAACCTGTGATTACTAGTTAGCAAGAGTTAGGAAAAACATCGACCATATCCTTCACAAAACTACCTGCAGAACATTTACAGAGAACAATTTTATACCTGAGCAGCGTATGGGGTGATAATTCCAATATCAGAAGGGAGCACCCCACTTTGCATTAGTCTCTTTGCATGAGCCACAGTAACCTCAGCTTCACCTTCATTAAAGGTGCTATCTTCTTCATCTTTCTTTTCTTCCATGTCACATCTGAATTCCATCAAATAGGAAGTCTGGTTACATTCTGTTGGACAAGTCCTATGGATATCAAAGAATCTATATTTGCTTCATATGAAATATCATAAATTTCTATCGCTCTTCAGCTTCCTCATACCAGTTTGGTTATATGTTAAAATACTTGACTTGATAGTAGAAACCAGTACACCAAATTACTGAACATAGATTATTCAAAACACCAAATTATTATATACAAAAAGATGGTATATCAAATTTCATTAGGAAGAGAATGTCAGGTCTTCTTTCCACATCTAACCCCCAATCATCAGTTCTGAGAAGATAGAACTCAACAAGGACATAATCCAACATACCCAGCTATGTCTATGAGAAGAAGGGTCGGTTCAGTTGAAGATGTCCTCTTCGCACCTTCAAGACCGCTTAGTGTATGTGCAGCAACACTTGGATGAGCCTTGATCTGTTGTCACATAATTCCATGCATGATGATCCAATTAAATGTTGATCACCACATCACAATATAATATTCCAGTTCAGGATTGATAAATTAAGCTTCATGGCATAAAAAAAAAAATGCTTTGTAGTGAAGCAATATCAAGACAAGATTCGAAAATTAGGAGCACCTTACTGTTATAAAGCTCTTTAGAAGACCAATTCATGATAAGTTCATGCATACGGTACTGGACAGTAAGCATGGATGTTATTTCATCTCCATACATTTCTGAAAGTCTTTCAAATAGCGTTCTTCCTAAGCCTTTCTTTTCAGCTTCAACACTTTGAATGGTTGGTGGAAGTTGAAGGTGGTCCCCTGCAAGTATACATCTTGAACCCTAAAACAATGAACTCTTCATTTAATTCATTATAATTAAATTGATATCGTGTAATAATTAGAAAGCTAAATATTTTAATGCTAAATCAAACTCACATGTAGCATCAAGCTTAGTTTTGCTAGTCCAAAGCAACTTTTGTAAAAGACAGTAAATTTTTGTAATGAACCTCCCTTATAAAACTTTCAATTTAGTTCAGTTTGATCTATGATTTTGATCTTTTATATACCCCGTTGTGTCAAATCCTCCTTTAGACATTATAGGAAAAACGGAGGATACTGTTGGAAAACACTATTTTTCCTAATTACTAATAATAATTATCATCATCATCATCAAAGTACAAATCAGTTTAGGATCCGTAGTAGTACAACGTGCAACTCATGCCATAAAATAAACATTTTTAGTTTTCAAATTCCACTGTCTGAGATTTTATTTTCTTAAATAAACCAACGTTGTCTAATTTTCAATTAATCACACTTCTCTATTTTCCCTCCCACCTGCACCTAGCATACACTGGTGATAATATGTAGTGTTCCAACAGCAATAAAACATAATCTGACATGTGAATGTAATAAGATAAAAATAAGTCTGAATGTACAATTTTTATGAATAACATAAGATGTAGTGCATGTGCTTTTCAACATTACCTTCAGCAGAGGTATCCAGCATGCTATCTCAAGTGCTTGAGCAGCTTCATCAATAATCAACAAATCAAATGAAGTGTTGTCTAGTTTCTTAGAGAAAGCCCCAATCAAAGTAGTTAATATTACATCTGCACTTTTAATTACATCTGTTACAGCAAGCTGCTGTCTTTTACGCTCTTCTTTGGATAGAACCCTAAGTTCCTTCTGTATGTCCCTCCTTGTATTTCTGTCTTTGGTTTTCAGCAGCTTTCCATTCAATGCCTGAAAAAAAATAGGTTATATTGTGAAAAGTAATGTTGCATTATTATTATATTGCATAATTATATCTAATTTTATTAACATGAAAGTTAAATGCTGACATCTATGATAACATTATAGGTAACAGTCTTGGGAACATCAGCTAGATGAAATTAACAACAAAATTATACATAAAAATTAAGATTCGGTTCTATAACTTCTGTTCTAAAATCTCACCTTCATTTCTTTCCGAATATCATTTGCAAGACCACTATTATCTCCTCGTAGTACCTAATATCAGAGAAATTCAATATGGAAGGGTGAAAACAAGTACAATCAATGACATATAAAAATTATTAAAGCTAGAAACCACCCAAAATAAGATACACACACAGAACAGAATATTTGACATGCTGTCATGAACCTCGCTTAAAGAAAACTTTCTGCATTTTTAAGTTGCTTGATGGTTGTGAAATTGACTATTTATCATTTTCTGGGAACAATATATCTGTCCAGAATCATCAGCTCAAACTTTTTCTTCACCTTTTAAAGGTTTTTGTAGCAAGGAAAGCAATGTTCTTTGGCACTGTGCTTTGGTTGGTCGTAATTTTATATTTTTGTGGAGAACACAATGCCAGAATTAACTGGAATTTCCCCCCTTCTCATCTTGTGTGGGACAGAGCAATTTTCTTGGTTATTATGTGGGTTCTGTTCCATGATTTTTAATGGGGGTTTTGTAGAGCTCTTTTCAGCCTTTTTTACTTTCGTTTATTTGTTATATATATAAAATCTTCTTTATATATTTAAAAAGATATCATTAAATAATGTGTATATAAAATTGAAATAAATTTGGACATTTCACTAAGCAGTCTTGGAGTGTTCACAAAATGATGGGAAAAAAAACAAGAATACAGATATTCAAATGTTAGCATATAAATAAGTGGTCATTATGTACCTGAGCATCCAGCGCACTGTCCAGTACTTGAGGCAATAAACGTGCAGGGTGACCCAGTCTCACCAGCTTAACTCTAAAGAAAAACTAGGAGATCATGAATGAGTATCCACATTCCACACATGATTTTACACACTTGGTGAAACTAAACCAGATAGAGAGAATACATCTCACCACAAAGGGAGGGAAAGCAATAAAAGTAAATAAGAACAGAAGAAAAAAGGTTCCAAAATTATAAAATTTGAAGGAGGTAAAAACATATTCCTTTTCTCCTAAAATTACTGTTTACTAGTTCTGTGAACAATTCCACAAGGACAGACATAACTTCATTTATCCATGTTGTCAAATGTTTCACAACACTCCAATCAGAGCAATACCAGCCAATTACTATAGGGCCAAACAGATAATAAAATAATTATACCTGTGTGGAACTAAACGCTCAACGATGTTGTCAACAGCAATATTAGAGGCAGCACAAGCAAGAATTTTAGATCCACGTTTCACTTCTTGTAATATAATTTCCACCACTGTTGTAGTTTTTCCCGTTCCAGGAGGTCCATGTAACAAGAACACATTCTTCGAGGATAGAGCTTTTGAAACTGCATCTTTCTTTGGAGATAAAACCAGAAATACATAACTTTGTGAACAAAAGCGGTCTAATGCAAAGTAAAAATGACAAAATACTCATGTCAAAACACTCAAACACGACTCTTATTAATAACAGGAATATTCTGTAATGGTTAATTAATATCCTAAAATTAATAAATAAAAAAATAAGACCCATAAAGTCAAAACACTTGATTTGATTTAGGGCAATTAACAAGCAAAGTGACAATACAAGAGTTTTGCAAGGAACAAAGTTCATGAATTTTCAATCCCTAAGCTACACAACAATAAACAGGAAGCCAACAAGTTGCGGCCCAGGTAGATAAATCACTCTTGTATCCATAATTTTGATTGCCTCATTGATTAATTAGTGATCATTTCAAAATCTTTAGATGATTTTAGGTCCACTTGATTTCAAAAAACTAAAATACAGAGCATCTCCTAGAAATCTGCAATATTCTAGCTTAGTTATACAGTGATAATTAATAAAACTCATGTAACTTCAGTTAAATATTGTGATTAGACAAGAAATTAAACCCTAAAACTGTATATTTTAATTCTTTTAATTATTGGGATGATTGTCATAGGTTTTAAAGTAATACAGTTAAGTCCCTAATAATAATAAGTAATTTAAAAAATTGGGACTGGTGCCATAGCATGCAAAACAATTATGATGAGATATTTTTATTAGAGAATCACAATTTAGAATGATTGAAGGAAAAAATAATATGTAAAAGGGAACACCAACCACTCAATTGATTGACTAAGTAAATAATTAAATATATCCAATTCTGTGGGATAAGGATTGATTGTTGTTGTTGTCGTCGTTTATGGCATACACACTAAACACTTGTTAAATGCAATTAAACATTGAGCAGTTACATTCTTATATCACATTTCTTTTAGTTTTCCCTAAAGAAAAGGACTGATTGACAGCAATAGAACAGAACACTAAATACATGTAAATAGTAATACAAAAATATACTTCATGTAAATTATGAAGGCATAGACAACCTTGGATGAAAAAACACATTGAATAAAAGAAAATTACAAAAAGTAGAAAACTATTTAGGCAAATTCATAAAAAGTAACAAATAAAATACCCGTGTATGAAATTAGGTTACACACCTGGGAGTGATCAAGATTGACATTAAAGGGAGTGAAGGATACATCCTTCTTGGACACAGTTGGAGGCCTCTCCCCAAACAAGACAGGAATCAGATCAGCCGCAGGACCCTTATGCACTCCTTTACTCAACTGTATCAATGCATCTTTCATCCTGCGATATGTCACCTGCGTGAGCATTAAATATTTGCAGCATATAAGAACCTAAGAGTAAGAAATTGATTAAGATTAAAAATGCCAAGCAAGATGTTAACATCACATTCATAACAGAAAACGAAGAAGTTAACTAACAAAAAGGGAGACCAAAAGCTTCATATTAAGATCCTATTAGTGCATTTCAAATATTTTATGCAAATGTGAAATTAGTGTATCAAAACTCACTGAATCTCATGGCAGTTATTGAATGATTTATAATCAAACTGCAACACTATTCAATACAACAAGAAATAATAAGCATCCATGAACTTATTGGCATACCTCATTAGCAACTTTTTCCAGCCTTAGGGGACTGTTTAAACCATCTTCTGGTATATCATCAAAAGCAACAGTTATTGATGAGTCCTGTTGGTAATTGCATCAAACCAGCAAGTCAAAGTAATATCTAAATGTGGGACCATCCATATTTTTTTCTTTTCAGAAATTGAATCAATAAAATACCTTTAACCTGTAAACTACGCCTTGTCCAAGAGCATTAGAACCTAAATCAGCTTTGTTGAGTTTTAAAACAACAACATCATGCGTACTAAACTGCAAAAAAGAAGACCATATTAGCTTCTGAAAGTCATAAAATACGGATTGAATACATAGAAAATGGTCTTATCAGAGCTACAAGATCTTTTTGAGGCAAGATCTTATACTGAATAACAAAAGGAAGGAGGAGGGAGAATACATACAATAAAAGTAGGTTCGTTCAAGACACTACTAAAAGGCACATCTTCAAATTTGGGTCAACCAGTATAGACAGTTAGATATTGAACGGATAACTGATAGAGGGAAGTCATTCCTTTACCTTGTGCGCAGGAAGAACGTCTCCTTTTGTAGACTGGAACTCGATCAGAGACTTCCCCATAAGCCCTGTCTATTTTCAGAATAGAGAAAGGGGAAAGGGCACAATATATGAATATCACATGAATTGAAGCTCCACACCACTTACCACTAGAATGCACAGGAAAACAAGAAAAATCAAATGTAAACTTGGCTCCTTTTCCTTGACACTTTTGAAATCTCAACAGTAATGAATAAGATAAATATAAAATTCCACTTCCTATAAATGTATATTGAATTCCATCTTTCTTTGTCCTTCTGCTTGTCCCCATTTTCAAACCAACAAAGTTTAGGGTAGTTTAAATCAATGAAGAACATAAAAGGAATATAAGAACAGGAAAAATAAATAAATAAAGTTATAATTTTTTTTTGAAAAAAGGTAACCTGAACATCCACACACTTCAAGTTAAGGATTGTGGAGCCCCTCCTTTGAGCAGTATCCAAATTCCTGGACGCGCCAGTGGCGATTGAGGTTGATATTTCAGCTTCCTATGCAGAACACAAAAACAAAGGAAGACCCATCAATCATTCATACCCAACTATTTGAAAGTTATGATTTTTTTTCATGGTTGTAATCGGCCAATATAAAACCCGTTAAACAATTGGAATTAAGATGCTGAATGGAAATAGAAGAGTTGAGTGGAACCTTTTCCAAATCAAGAAGAGGGGCGGTAATGGAGATGAATTGCTCCAAAGAAAGTGGTGAAGTTTTCTTCCTCTCCGTTGCCATAGTGATTAGTGACAGTGGCTGCTGCTATCCAAACACGGACAAAAGTGCTGTGGCCTGTGAGGGAACGTTGGGGTATTGCAGTTACTTATTACTAATACGATGGAATATGTATAAGCTAAGAATTAATAAATATTAAATTTGTATATAAATTATAAAAATAAATATATTATAACCTATAAAAATAAAAATAAATTATATATTTATTCTTTAATTAATAACTTATAATGTTAGCATTTTTTAAAAGGTATATGCTCACTTCAGATTTTATAACTTTTTTATGGTGTCTTTTACCGTTTTGAAATAGTAAATAAGAGGAGTTTGGATACTCGGGTAACATTTTAATCACACAACATTTTATACATTAAAAAATTATTATTATTATTATTGAATAATATATTTTAATGGTTAAATTTAATACTTTACTTCTCTAAAATGAATGTTACTCTTCAAAGATTTTCAACCCAAGAAAAATAATATTTGGTTTTTAAGTGAAACATAAATGAAAAAAAAAAGAGAAATAAAATAAATAAAGAAATGTTATAAAATTTGTTATATAAATAATGTGTTTTAAAAAATAAAAATGGCGTCATGCATAGACTCTTGTGGGGATGAATTTTCATTAATTCTTTTATAAATTTGACTAATTAAAGTTTAAAATGATACTAAAATAACTCTAATACATATTTCAGGCACAAACTTTATTATTGTTTTAAAGATTGAGTTTTGATCAGTGGTATGACAGAGTTAAAAGTTGATAAAATAAATTTGTTAAACAATACCACTATTTTAATCAAATAAACTTATAAATGAATCCAATAAACTAACTATAGGTTAGTTGAAATAATTAGCCAAACATCCTTACTCTAAATTTTGTGATGTAAGTTTAAACAATATCATTTAAAAAAAAAGACCAAAGATTATTACAGTAACTAAAAATGTAAAATCATGTTTAAAATGTGTTTATTTGTGAAAATCTCTATTGAAATAATTTTCCCTAGTACAACTTTAATTGGATTTATTCCCTCTTGGCTCTTATAAATTGAACGAAACAGCAATTCATAGTTTAATAAACTCGGTCGCACTCGAAGATTGAGTTTAACAAATTTTGAAAATTCCATAATGATTTGAATACTTAATCTTCATTTGGGAGTCCATTAGTATCATAAAAATAATCCATAAAAATTCATTTTTTAAAAATAAATGTGAACTAGTGAGCTGGACCGCAACCCGTAAAGGATTAGACCGGGCTACATTTTTGGCCCGCAATCAAATTAGCCTGTCCAACCCAGCCCAGAAATCTCTTTGAAGCAATGGGGCTTGCCCCGAACGAGCTGGGCCTTGACACCCCCACAATGATACACTTGGATTTTCATTTTCTCTTTGTTTATAATATACCAAAATCATTCTATTTTTGCAAAAACTAATAATAATAATAATATATTTTTATTTTTTAATTTAAAAAATTTTAAACTAAAAATAATTTGGAACTAAAAACTGCCAAAATCTCTCATTGCATACGTATAATTTAAAAAAAAGGCACCATTGCTCTTCCAACTCGTTTATTCTCTCAATCGTATTCGGCAATCCACTCACCCTCTTGATCTTGTGCAATGATCGAAGTTACCAACAAACCTTGTCTTCTGGGAAGCGGCAAGAAGAGAGCAAAATACACATAAATCTTAATCCTTAAACACCATATAATGCAGGCCAAGCTATGTGAAATTGATGGTAAATGAAAAAAGATTACATAGAACAACAAAACCATGACGCAATTTTGAAGGCAAAAAGCCTTTGGGTCGTTACAAGTACAATATTATTTTCTTCGACATGAATAACACAGTTAAGTACAGATGTTATCATCACACATCTAATTCATACTCATCATTCCGACGAGTACTGCAAAATAAGATGGTGAAGTACCTGTATCAAATTTTTGCGATAACCCAAAATGCCATTGATGAAGGCTAACAACATAATACATCATGTAGGTGATCCTCACTAGTCACTAAAAATGCGTATTTATCCCAAATCTTTGAAAGTTAGCAGGATTAAATACCTCTACTGCAAAAAGCCTCAACTTGCCTATAGAGGCATGCAAATCCAACATTAACTCATTTAAATATGAGTGCATCACGTCCAGGGCCAACACCAATGTAGTGGATAGGGACCCCCACAAGTTCTTCTATCCTTTCCACGTATTGTCGTGCAGCTTTGGGAAGGTCAGAATAGTTTCTTATGGAAGAAATATCAGACTTCCATCCAGGAAGTACTTCATATTCCACCTAAAACATGAAAACAAATAACCATAAGAACATACAATACAGATTTCTAAGCTATTGTGTACATTCAACATTCTAGAAAAACAACATCACTTCTTATTCAGGAATAGATGGAAGGGAAAGATAGAAAAATTACCTTCAATTGCTCGAGAAGACGAAGATCTGAAGGGAATGATTTGATTGGGGTACCATCAGCATGTTTGTAAGAGACGCCCAACTGTATTTCATCAAGATCTGATAAAACATCCAGCTTGGTAAGATTCAATGATGAAAAACCATTGATCTGACAAGAGTATCTCAATGCAACTATATCAAGCCAACCACACCGTCGAGGACGGCCAGTAGTTGTGCCAAACTCCTGCCCAGCAAATCTGAGGAGGTCACCTCCAGAACCCAGAATTTCAGTTGGAAAAGGACCAGAACCAACTCTTGTAGTGTATGCTTTCACCTGCACAGCCAAAATAGAATTGACAAACCATTCTACCGGTGTTAATTATGCTTAAACTGTTGAGATTATATTTGTTGAATACGTGAAAACAGAAACAGCAAACAAAGTAAGAAAAGATCTCAAACTCAAACAAGCAATAAAGAAAAGATAAATACACACATACCACTCCTATTAAATCGCCAACTATCCTTGGGGCAATACCAAGACCAGTGCATATCCCACCAGCTGATGGGGTAGAAGAGGTAACAAAGGGATAAGTTCCAAAATCAATGTCCAACATGGCTGCCTGTCCTCCTTCAACCAAAACCTTCTTCTTTTGTGCTATAGCTTCATTCATGACATGCACAGTATCAGCAATGTAGGGTTCCAACCTATCAGCATACCTCTTGTAGTTTTCAACTTCTTCCCTGAGCATGTCTGAACCATAGTTGAAATCTTTGAACCTCAACGCGGCATCTGACAACAAAAGATCAAGCTTCTGCGGAAAAGTATCCATGTGCCTCAAATCACACACTCTAATGCCGTTACGGTTAACCTTGCTGGAGTAGCAAGGTCCAATGCCTCTCTTAGTGGTGCCAATGAAAGATTTAGCAAGCTCAGCTTCCCTTAGCCCGTCCACTACTTGATGGAAATCAAACAAGAGGTGAGCACGATCAGATATCAATATCCTCCCTTTGCAAGAGACACCATTCGATTCAAGGCCATCAATTTCTTTAAACAACCCTGGCAAGTGCACCACAACCCCATTCCCAATAACACACAGAGTATCCTCATTGAGAATACCCGAGGGAACAAGATGAAGAGCAAATTTTTTCCCTTCCGCATTATAAATAGTATGCCCAGCATTAGCTCCACCCTGACAAAATATAGTAATAACAAACTATAAGACCAAAATAACGTTTGCAACACCCAAATAAAAAAGTAAAAGAAAAACCAAAACCAAATCCAAGTGAAATCAATCATCATACACTACACTAATAACACCTCTCAACTTGTCTCTGGAATTGCAAAAATGACATTATCAACCCTGAAATTACCAAATATCGGTCATTTTAATCATTATTTTTGTAATTTCAAAGGTTAAAATAAACATCTTTTGGTAACATTATTCAAGGTAAAATTAAATTTTTGTAATTTCAGAGAGTGGCTAATTCACTATATCATAATAAAATCACAAGGCTATCAATTTAGTATACTACTGAGTATAAACGAATTCAATAAAATCATAGAGCAACGAACCCTATCACAACACTGAAACCGAAAAAACTAGTTTTGAACGAGTTTCAGGACTACCCACGATTTGCAACGAATAGAAAAGGGAAAAAGGAAAGGACTTGAGGAGAACCTGACAGCGAGCAACAATTTCAAAGTGTTGGGCTAAGATATCGACGAGTTTTCCTTTGCCCTCGTCACCCCACTGGCAACCGAGGACGCCGGAGACCTGACTGAGCGAGGCGATGCGGACGGCAGAGGAGTCGGCGGCGGAGAGCTTAGAGGGAGGAGGAGCTATGGGTTTGGCGGAGCAAACGACGACGTTTCGAGTGGGGCGAAGATGGTGAAAGGAAAAGGGCCCTTGAGGTTTGCATATTGCGTGAGAATCGAGCGTCAGGGATGAGATGCTGTTCATTGCCAAGTGCGAACACACAAAGTACAAAGTGGAGAGAAGAGACCAGAGAGTGAAACAGTAACACAGAAAGGGCACAAAGCTACACTGCGTTTGATGATTCCAATTCTTTGATTCCTATTATCAGCGATGTGCTGATACTGGTGGGCGTAAATTGGATTTCCACAAAACTAAATTAAATTTATTTTAATGTTAATAATATGAATTGAATTTTAAATCATTTTATTTTATTTTCTTAAATCAGTTTAAAATTAGTATTAAAATTTATATTTTGTTTAAAATCAATTTTAAATCTAATAAAATATATTATAAATATTTTTATACTATTATTAAATTAGTATATTAGAAAATAAATTTTATAATAATTAATATAAAATTATATTTGTATGTATTTTAATAAATTAATAATATATTTTTTATATTTATATTATATTAAAATTAAATTAATATTTTTACTTTGCATTATTTATCCACCATACACACTAATTATACAAATTAAATTTTAAATCAATTTATTTTTTCTTACAAAATAATTTAAAACTAATTTTAAATGTTAAATTTAATTTAAAAATAGTTTAAATTTTGATTTTAGTTGAAATCAGTTTTAAATCTAATGTTTTATATTAAGATAGTTTTAAATTTAGTGTTAAATTAAATTAATTTTAAATTTAATTTTAAATTTAAATTTTAAAAAATATTTTTAATACATTTATAAAATTTGTTTTTAATTTAAAATGAATTTTTTATATTACATCATTGTATTAAATTAGTTTATTTTAAAAAGATTTTAGTAATCTTTATTAGTTATATTATACTTTATAAAAGTTTTTATAAAATATTTATTATTTTAAACTTAGTTTCAATAAATAAAGAGTCGATGAAAGTTTAAATTAAAACTTATAAAAAAATATTAATATTAAATAATAATAAAAATATTATGTTATAATATATTAAAAATTTTAAAAAATAAATTTAAATATAAAAATAATAGTAATAATTAATTAAAAACAATTGTTATATTTTTATAGTTTTAATATAATAATTATATTATTTTAAATATTTGATTTTAATTATAAGAATTAAAGTTAAAAAAATATGTTAGTTATAAAATATAGCTCTAAAGCATAACAATAAGGGATGAAGTAATATCCTTTACTCTATAGATTTAGATGAATAAAAAAAAACCGATAATTTGTATAAACATTTTAAATAAAATAAATAAAATTTAATGTAAGAAGTAGTGTTTATGAAGAAAAAACAATTATTTAAAAATTTATGTAGCTTGATAAAAAACAATTTTAAAAAAACATCATTTAAAAATAAGAACCTGATTTCGAACAAATATTTTTTATAATAAAAATTTTAACTTTAGTTTTTGACTAGCATGTCATAAAATTAATCAATAGTTGTCCTTTGGTAATTTTAATGATGAAAATGGTATTTAATTATTTTATAATATATTGAAAGTGTGTTAATGGCAATTTCTCTATAAATGATTATGAGTTTCTATAAATAAGCTATCCGTATTAAGTAAATTTAAAATAATGTTGATGTTAATAACGAAAAATCAGTAGTATTTGATTCATAATTTAAAATTTAGGAAAACTTTAAAAATAAATGAATAATATTTAAAATAAAACAAATTAAAATTAAAGAAGGGAAAGTTTTTTTACCTTGAAGCAGAACCAACATGTGTTACTTTTTAAATAATATAAAAAAAAACTAAGAAATTAGGTCGAGCACAAGAGAATATACCATAATTTACTGTACATGGTTGGATGAAAACAGTAAAAGTTATAATAAAATTTCTTTCATTCAATGTCAATCAAAAATTAAGATATGATTTTATGATTGAATATAATAATGAAAATTAAGAAAATGAATATTTACCAATTGATATATATAAGTGTGAAATAAACAATTATGAAAGATAAGAAAGAAAAATATAAGAGCCTATGATAGAAAATGAAAAAAATAAAATAAAATATATATATATATATATAATTTAATATAATATTTAAACCAATTTGATTATAAGAACACCTGTAATGAATTTTGTTATAAATTCAACAATGATATTGTTACTTATTTACTGAATTTTTTAAGATATAGATTCATGAAAAATATAATATTTTTCTTTATCAAATTACATAAATTACAAGACCAAAGCTATTCATCAAATTATACTGAATATGGGTTTAAAAAAACTCTTAAACAAAATTTGCATGAAATGTAGTGAGAAAAATTATAAATAAATATGAATAGTGTGACTCTTTAAAAAATATTATGCACGTGTAATTGTCTTGTGATTCAACTTTAAATTTAAAATAAACATCATATTTCATAGTCTATATTATATTTTAACATATATACAATATAATTTTATTATTTTAGTTTTAATTGTTTATGTTTAATTTTTATACTTTTCAATCGTTTAAACTAAGTCTCTTGTTTTGAAATTTTATTCAGCAATTAAAAAATATAATAAAAAAATGTATCATATTATTATTTTATATAAAATGATAAAAAATAAAATATTTAAATTAAAATTATAAAAAAATAATATAATAAAAAAAAACAATTTTATATAGTGTGTGTTTGTGAATTTATAAAAATTATTAAAATATTACTAATTATTAGACAAAATGTCTGTAACTGTTGGGATTAATTTTGATTAATACACAAAAGGACAATAGTATGAGTAGGAGAGATAATGACAATTATTAATATCTATTAATAACCCTCCATTAACATACAATAAATTACAAAACCTCTTTAATGGACTTTTAACACTATCAAAGAGTCGTTATCCTCTCTAAGCTGGATTTTTGACGGGTCACATTCTTATCCTTTCTTTTACATTAAAAATTAAAAAGGGAATATACAGTCACGATTAAAATATTGTTACACCTCTTTATCGCCCCTAAACAAAAATTCGTAATGTCAATGGTATAAAGGGAACAAGAAGTAAACAAGGAAATGAAATTTGTGATTTTCTTTTCTAAAATTAAAAAGAAAGAAAACAAGTGTTTTCGTTTCTATGGTAGGATGGTCCATGTGTTTGAAAATTATTTTTTTTAGGGAGGGTATTTTTAAAAAATGGCTTAATCTAGTTTTTGAAATATATATTTGATTCCATTTAATTTAAAAAAAATAAAATGAATTCAACCAAATATGAATTATCATGTGTTTTAATAGTTATGTTATGCATAATAAACAAATGAAACTATCAACCATTAAGTGTTGAACAATGAATTTCAAATGAACTTTTGTTCAAGAAAGAGTTGAAAATACAAGTTCCTTAATCAAAAGAGAAAAAAAGGTCTCTAATCCATGCTAGGGATAATCTGTATTCCGAGCTTGTTTGTCGCAATCTGGTATCTGATTTCTATTGCAGTGAAAAAGGGTAATTTTAGTGTGGTGGTGTTTTGTCTGTTATTTGTTACTAGTGAGGCTTATAAATGGAGGTCTTTCCAACTTTCATTTTGTATTTGTATGTGGCCATTATAAAGAATATTCAGTTTTTACCAAATGATCATACCGGATATATGTTTTTTAAATATTAACATCTTTGTTATTATTCAAGATTTTTAATTTATATACCGTATAATGTCTAATATTTGTAACACCAAACTGTTTCTACTTAACTAACGTTTTAAATACATTTGCATTAACATTCAATTAATATAATATTCGGAAAGTAGGGTCTGGCACAAAAAAAAAAAAAAAAAACAACACGATCTCATTATTTCGGTTAAGTAAATGTTTATTTACTTAATATTTAATCAACAAAATTCCATGAAACTTATTCGTGTCAATTCTGCACTTTATTCTTTGTACTAAGTAGCACCACTCTCCAAAACTTTGTAATTTTTCTATTTTTTATTTTTTATTTCTATCTAGTGATTTTTATAAACTCTTTTAAAACAGTTAAAAGAATAAATTTAAATTTTTTAGACAAACAAGACCTTATTTTAAGGGGGAAAAAACCGTAGTTCCAACTTCCTAGATCTCACCGTTCAGATAGAAAATCTCTCTCGAAACAAGAGCAAAAGTTAGAAGACAAATTGAACAAATTACATATTTTCTTGTCATAATCATAAATCATGTCCTCGTTGTTCTTGTCTAGACATGAATTTTTTTGTTATTTTTTTATAAAGTCTGAAAAATCAATTGAAATATATGATTATGGCACAATATCAGCTATGAGAATCCATATTAACGGAATGGAACACACTAAACTTCGTTATTCATGGTTGTCCTTGACCACAAGCAGAGGTACCCTTTTCTTCTCCACTTCTTCTGACACCACACTTGAACTTTGAACTTTCTCATTTGTCCCTTTCTTAGAACCCTTCCTTGCAAGCCTCTTCAATTCTGAGTAGAACCCACTTATTTGACTCAAAATTTCTCTCCCACCCAACAAATTTTGTGCCGAGAAAGTACTCCTCAGCTTAGATTTTCCATGACTTTTCACAGAACACTCCGTTTGACCATTCAACTGTTTTGCATTGTCCTTGTTTGGCCTCATCAATGGCTTCTTCTTTGGCTTGTTTGTCTTAAAATTTTGATTTGGAGCTGAAAAATTTGGATCTTTATTCTCGTTGTCTTCATGAAAGTTCCCTGAAAAACTGGGTCTTCTGAATTTCTCACTAGACTTGGCATAGGAACTTTCCACAGCTGAAGAATTTTCCCTGAGTACACCGAAACCATTCTAAGCATAACCATGTCTATTTTTTCTTTTTTCAATTTTTCTTCTTTTGGAACGTACCTTCGATTTCTGTCTCTAAAGGGAAGAATTTCAGAAATTGTTACAAGTCTTAATAGCTTGGCCTGCATGATAAAGTGAAGAGGAAATATTTAATATAAAAAAAGTTACAAACTAAGATATTTAATTATTTTCACAAGAACCTGATAAAATGTAACCTTGGAGTTGCTTGTGGTCGTGGGTTTAAGAAAATCTTCGGCAGTTTTTGGATGCTTGCAATCTGCAAGTGGAATAGATCGAAACTCATCAACATAGAAAACCAAACCCAGAAGGGAAATGCCATTTGGACCCTTGTAGAAGGCCTCACCGTGAGTGCAGAACCAGGCTTCATCATCAACAAGAGGTTCATCCGAAGCAGTGAGATCAACCCATTTAGGCGCAGCAAAGTTCTCGTACGCGTCGTCTTGATCGAACGTAGAATCGATGCTGTCCCAGTCAATGTTTTCGGGTTCCATTTGAGTAAAGAATCTGAAAGTTTAAGGCAAAAAAAGAGGATTAGAAATGAGTTGGAAATGCAAAATAGAGAGGTAAAAAAGAGACAGTGAAAATTTGGTGGGAATGTGAAGGTCCCAGGAGGTGTTGTTCTGCGTCAGGAATGTGTGCGAAGGAAAGCTTAGAATTGGAATGAAGAAAAGGCGTGGTTTGTATAGTGTAGTTAACTAGGACTTTGGATTCTGTAACGTTTGGAGCATCACATTCGCATAGGATGTTTAAAACAATTTCGACCGTTGGGAACTTTGAACCCTCTTCCAATCTTCATGTTCTGTCCTGTTCCTTTCATTTTTAATCTTTTGTCTTTTTTCCCCCAAAATCTGTTATTCTCGTTTCATCGAACACAACCAGATTGGGCTGAGACCCAAGTAATATTAATCAATAAGCCCAACTTGGACTCGATCCAATAGAACAACTTCAGTAGGTATTACGATTAATTTATTTAAAAGTCTTAATAAAAACATATAACGAGAATTTTATATTAAAAATGGTTTAGTACTCAAAAAAAAAAAAATGTGATATTGGTAAGGGGAAAAAAAAACTAATTTTACAATTCGTAACTTAGCGTTTCTTGTTAGAGAAATTGAGCCGGTCTGATTAGGGATAGACTTTGCTGGGGGAACTGGAATATGAAAAGAGCAAACTATCTAGAGATAATTTTTTTATTTTAAATAAAAATATTTAAAATTAATAAATCTCAATTGATTAATAAATTATTTTATGCGTAATAAGCTAATTAATTAGTTAATACTAATAGCATGTTATCTATAATAAAATAATATTCCTGCAATATTTTATTTTTAATGTCACAAGGGCATCAAAGTTAAGCTTCGTCTTGCAAATAGCACCATTTTTGTTTATAGTTTGAACTGAATCTAAAAGAGAGAGATGACAAGTCTAAGGAGGTTCCATCCATCAATACATAAACAAAAGGGTCGTTGGATGTTGGCATTTACTTCCTATATATACTTCACTGACACACTTTCCGAACGCTCACCTGCAAGGGAAGTTCTTAAAAATATTTGGTTAAAATATTTGGTTGGCCAACCAAATTAAATAAAAACAAACTCATAATTATTTACCTAATTAAAGTGTGCATTCATTTATGCAAGATGAATAGGAATAGCATTAAAATGGCTAGCAACCACTTAGCATAATTTAACAACAATAGTATTGTTCTTTTATTCAATTAATCTTGAATAATTGGCAGTGACATAAAAGAACAATTGATGTACCTTAGGACATGTTTGCACAGGGGAATGTATCTCTTTTAATATTATTGTCACTCATTTAAGATTTGCCCTGTTTAAATATTATTATTAATTTAATTAACCAACAAATAAAGTATTATATGTACAAAATATTTAAAAAAGTGATAATAAAAATTTTAGTGTGACAATAGACTCATCACTGGATAAAAGGTTAAATAAAGATAAAATAAACATATAAAATATATTTTTAGTCTATACATTTTAATAGTTTCTTTTGTTTTAATTTATCCAAATATTTTTCTACATTTTTTTACTTTTGAAAATAAAGGAACCATAACTAAAAGAAAAAAAAAATTAAGAAAAAGTGAAATAAAAATAAAAATAATGGAAAATAACTTATATTTTTTAGTATTCTATAATTTTTTAAAAAAATTTCAGTTATTAAAAATTTAACTTAATAGAAAATAGAAATAGTGTTAATAAGAACAATGCGTGAACGGTAACTATTTTCGTTCACGATATATTTAGAAATGTAATCTTAAAAGAACATCTAGACTTGTAAATTCATTTTTTAATATTATTTTTTTATAATCAATTATGTTAAAATATAAATATGAGAAACTTCAATCATAAGGTGAACGATGTTCTCTGCTTAATTATATCAGTAGCTTTTTTGTTTTTTTGTAACGGGTGGTTAAAATTATTCAACAAAATATAAATTTTAGTGTTTAAGTTTATTTAAAGATTGTTTATAAACAATCAATAATAATAAAATTTATGTTAAAAATTAAAAATTTCTATTCAAATATTTAATATAATTATATTCACTATGAACTTAAACTTAATATAACAAATTAAGTTAAAATAACATGTATCACCACATATTTAACAATTTATATAGTTTTAAAAGTGTAACATTGCATGCATAATATTTGTTTAAAATTACAAAATTTTATATATTAATACTATTAAATACTAAATTTTTTAATAAAAATTATTATTTAATATTAATTTCTTATGTTATATATATATATTAAAAAAACTCACAAAATTATTAAAAAAACAACTATTTATTATACTTTTTATTTATCTTTAATATGGTAATAATTAATTTCTAATAAATTTTACTCCTTTCAGTTCAAAATAACAGTTATTTAAACTTATGACATACAGATTAAAAAATATATTTAATAATTTTTTGACATAAAAAAACATATAACTTTCTAGTATACTATTGGTATAATTTCTCTCATTTTAATCTATTGCTTTAGTTTCTCTCTATATAATAATTATTTAAGGATAAAATTTAATTTAAAATTTAATTAAGTCTTAATTTAAGCTGTACGGGGATTATTATTTTAAAAAAATAATTTGCTAAAGTGACTTTTATTTTAAATAAAAGAAAGCATTGTCTTTAAATATTTAAATTCAATCGTTAATAAAATCTAAAATTAATAAATAATATTTTTTAATAAAAATATTATTTAATATATTTAGTATATTAAAATTTTAATAAACAAATTATTTAGAATATTTTGTTACACGTGTTAAGCACATATTGAAAAACGTAGATGTATCAAATTTGGTCAACACTGGTGGAATTGTTCCCGGCACAATGGTTGGTTGAACGAATTTACTTGCCACTAATTTTAGGTAATGCTATTAAATAATCGATGGTGCAAACACCCCGTAACTTTTAACCGTTAGCTGAACAAACATTTCTCATATTTATACGGAAATTTATAATTTAAATAATTTTGAAAATATAAAAACAATATATATTTTAAATTTGTAAAAATATGTACAATTAAGTTAAATAAATAATGTATATTGTACTTGGAGTAAAAAGAAATTAAAAAATGAGAACAATTAAAGTTAATATTTGAAAGGAAAATGTTAAATGACTTCCTAGTTAGATTGATATTTTCTGTTGATTAGAAACTTATAGTACAGTGTCCTCCTCCAACCAATAGGCTTTTATTTTATACTATTGTTGGTATAGTCGAATTTAGGAGCTAGTTTTTTTTTTTTTTAATTTCCCTTGTAAACAAAAAAATAAAGGAGAAATGAAACCGTAAATTAAAAAATTAAAAAATTATTGAAAATAACATATTAAGTACCATGTGATAATGAAATAATGTGTTATTAATAAAAATTATGAGAATACTACAACAAACATCTTTATGTTTAAAAATAAAAATAATATTTAATTATAACATAAGAATTGATAAATAATTTTTGTGTATTAAGATATTAAATCACTTTTAAAAAATTAATAATAAATATATATTTTATGCTTAATTGATTTTTAGATTTGGTAAAAGGGAAATATTTCAACGTAAAAATTAAAGTATTTTATTAAGGGTGTAAGTAGTTGGTATTCTTTAAAAAAAAAATAAAAAAATCATATAAACAATTCATTTGAGAGTTCATTAAAATATTAAAAAAATTAATGATAAAATTACGTGTCTTATAAAAATATTATTTGATGTAAAAAATAATAACCTTTTGTAATATATTGAGGTGAATTTTAAAAAAATAATTATTCACATTATTAGATGTCAAGCATAATCTTTTACTTTAAATTTTAATGCACTTGTTTAGCCTTGAGAAAAAAGTTAACTACATATTTTTTTTTCACACATTCTTATATTTTTGTAAAATTGAATAAATTTTAACTAATAATTAAAATATATTAAAAAATATGTTAGAGAGTATATTAGTCTTGCTAATATTCTCCTTGGCTTTAGTTTTTTTATTAATTTTAAAAATAAAAATAATAATTATTAGCGTATGAAATAATGGTTGTAGATTAACAAAATAGATAAGAGAATTTTTTCACAACACATTCTTACAAACATATCTTTTAACAATTTTTTTTTTCACGATTGTTTAACTTAAAAAAAAATCAATTTACAAAAAAGTGTTTAAACTTTTTAAATATAAATTGATTATAAAATTAGATTGAAGAAAACATTCAAAAAGTACATTACTAATATTTCACATTTAAATAATCATCAGTTTAAATACAACCATGATGAATCCTAACATAATTTTAAAGCACATGTATCGGTATTATAATTGTTACCACTATGTAATGTATAAATATTTTGAGATTTAACTATAAGATAAAGATTAAATTAAAAATTTGTGAAAATTGATTTAAAAGAAAAAAGCACATAATTCAATTAATTATTATAGCATACTTAAAGGTATAAACACTCATAGTTAATTAAACTCTTTCAACACATAGAAATGGACGAGGAACATGATTATTATCAAACAGCTAAAGACCACAATTACATACTATCGACTTGTGAAGAGATTGTTTTGTCTCATCTTTAATGCATAGATTACAGATGCTATCAACACATCTATATATTAAGTCTTATTTTACAATAATTTTTTTTATCAATTAATACCTAACTATTATTTTAACACAGTAATTAATAAAACTGTTTTAAAAATAAATACATCCAAAAAGTAAAGTTTTTGTGTGTATTCAACAAGCAGTTTCTTTTAAAAATATGCGTGTTCTAAAAAAATACTTTAAAAAATAATATTTTAAAAAATATCAAATAATGCAACATATTCAACAAAAAGTTTCAACTTAATTTAGCCAAAAAAAGATTAAAATTAAGATAGTATTGAATTTAAACATTGGAAGCGGACATGTAGCATGCCAATGAGTAACCGGGGCGGTGCATATATCATCAGAACTTTTACCGTACTTTTTTAATAAGAAAATATTTATTAATATTTAATAATATGGGCAAAGTTTTATTCACTAATGTATTTTTTTACTGTGTTATAATATATTTTTACTGTAATTTTTAACAAATAAATGATTTATTAATTATATTTCATGTAGTCTTAATAGCTTTAAGATACGCGTTAAAATGAATGAATAGTTAATTTAAATAATATATTTTTATTTTTATAAATATTTAATTATATCTTTAGTTAAATTAATCTGTTAATTTTATACTTTTTTACATTTTTAATTAAGTTCTCATAATTTAAAAAATTTAATTAATTTTTTATTATTTTAATTATATTTTTAACAATGTTTAATATAAATAATATGATTTTTAAACATTTTTTAACTTATTTTTTAAAATATTTTTTTATAAAATTTTATCTTTAAATTTTAAAATCTTATCATTACGTGGTGATAAATAATTCAACACTAAATTAAAGATATATTTTTCAAACTATATTTTATTCATATATTGATTATGCAAAAATTAAAATATGATCAATTAAAGAAATTTAAATTATTCCTAAGATTTTGGAGACTTTTAAAATTTATTTATATATAAAAAACAAATTTAGAGATTAACTTATTCTATAGTGAATTCAATTTTTTATGTCAACTTTATATAAATAATTTATTATAATAAATCAGGAAAAGATAAAAAAAATTTGTTTAAAACTTATTTTTATTAGCATGTGAAATGTAAATATGCTAAAACCAATTCGATATTAAAATATCATTCAATAATTAAAATGTTTACAATTATAACAACTTAATTAAAAGCTTTTAAATTATGAAGACTAAATAAATTTTTTAAAAAATTATAAAAACTAATAAATTGATTTAATCTATGTATTTTCATTAAAACATGATTTTTAAATAGTTAAACTCAATTTTAAAATTGGTGTGATAATATTTTTATAAAAAACTAAATGTTCTTAAACATAATTAAGTATTACCCAACATTCAATATAATACTAATTATCATGCTATAATCATTAATTATTAGCTTGCATGATGATTGATGAATATGTAAAAAAGACATTTGTTAAGAATACTCTAATTATGCATTAAGAGAAAAAGGAACTTTATGATATATTTTTGCATATTTTCCTAATTACCATGTTTACGTGTATTTATTGAGGAGAAAGAAAAGAAGAGAAAAGTGATGCAGTGCAGGTCAGAGAACAGAGGTGAAGGAAGGAAGGAAAATTAAGCAGTTAGTAATAAATTGGTGGCAAGTGGCACTGCGTGTGGTTGCGTTGTTGGAGGCTCTGTTAACGAAGTTTGGGTTCGATTGGATTCAACACTTTCCTCAAATCAAATCTGAATCATTCTTCTCATCCATTCAATTCAATCCAACCCATTCCTTTGTTCTCTTCTTCTGTGTGTCTGGGAAAGGAAGAGAGAGTGGGCCTGGGCATGGCTATTGCAGCAGCAGCTGTCGTGGTCCCATTGGGCCTGCTCTTCTTCGCCTCTGGCCTCGTCGTTAATCTCATTCAGGTACCCTCTTTTCTTTTCCCCCTTTCACTCTCCCATCGGAGAAAGCTATTATGAAGAAGTGCTGTGTGCTTTTCTTTAGCTGCTTCAAATAGGGGAAACCGTTATATATGAACTTTATAATGATTCAAATCTGGGCCATGCCTTTCAAACCTAAACCAACTTCATGTTGCGTTTCTGATTCGCCGCGCTGGAATTTCGTATGAAAGTTGCCAAAAATTGAATTTTATGTGAAATGGTATGCTTTTGAATTTTATTTTGGCGTGACTGAATAATACTTGTTTACTGCTTAGTTAGTTTGGATGATGATGTTTACTGAATGCGAAGGGAACTTTTGATGACTTAATGGGAAAAGTTTGATGTTGGTACCCTAAAAAAAATAAAATCAAAAGGGAGTTCCCACTATCATTTACCTGAGAGACATTTGCTTTAAGTATATATGAACTTTTTGTTCATTTATGGTATTTACTTTTGGCTTAACAAGAAGGAATTTTCTACTGGTTTACTTATAGAGTGAAAGAAGTGTTTCTGAAGTTTTTTGTTGATTTGTTCGTCATCATTGCAAATTAAGTTTTCAAAATAAGTTTTGTATATTTTTGGTTTTGTCAAATTAGGTGCAAATGAAATGTGAAGCAATTGGTAAAAAAATTAAGAAAGATCTTGTATTGCTTCAATTAATTTGCTTGACCTCTTGATTTCTTGTCTCAGGCAATATGCTATGTTCTTGTAAGGCCACTGTCAAAGAATTTGTACAGACGGATCAACCGGGTAGTAGCGGAACTGTTGTGGCTGGAACTTGTATGGCTTATTGATTGGTGGGCAGGAGTGAAGGTGTTTAACCAGTTCCAAGTTTCTTCAAAAAATTTTCTTTATTTTCTTTTGGGCACCACTTGTTGTCTTCAAATTAGTTAATTATCCATCAGTGATTCAGTGGGTAGTTTGCTGAACATTTGCTTGTCTACGTGATATTCTGGAAGGTATGGAATTGGGTCTCTACATAGTTATCAATAGTGAGCTATAGCAGCACTATAGCGGAGTGGCCACTGTCTGCTATAAAACTTGAATGGTGGAACGTTTTCAAATAGCAGAACGTTTTTCAAATAGTGGTCGTAACGGCCACAACAGCGGCCAAAATAGCAGTCACAGCAATGCTAGAGAAAAAAATTTCAAATAACTCATTTTCTCTCAAAAAAGCATTGTTTTGGGGGATAATTTTTAGGGGTAACATTGATATTTCTATTCCCCTTTTTAGAATTTAAAATTCCTAGTTGGGTGTAGTTTACCATGCTTTTATCTACCAACTACCCACACTGCGACCAGAAATATTTTTTTTTCTTTTTTACTTTTATTGTTATTTACTTGTATGTTTAGCTTAAGACCTATGACTCTTATTTTAAATTATGAATAAATCATGAATTTTAAGTTTTTTTTATTTTTGATGCATTTATATGTAATATAAAGGACTTAATTTGTGTATAAAAATTCTAAATAGCGGCTATCCTGCTATAGCACCACTATCCTAGATTGATAAGTATGGGTCTCTATATTATTCTTATATTGCATTTCTTCCTTAAAGACATATAAGAATTAAACGGCTGTTGGGCCTGATCATCATTGCCATCTCCTTGGAAGGGTGGTCTGATAAAATTGAACTGGCTACCTTGTGCACATGACTTAACGAACAATATGTTATGAGCTTTATAATGTTGCATTATGAGTGAAGGTTGTTTTGGTGGGAAATAAACCTGCATCCATTGTTTCTATTATGCAGAACTAAAAATAATCAAGTTTCAAAATTAGGGCTCATTTATTTGTGCTTCTTCTAAAGGAAAGAAAAAACTTTTTAATGAGAATGTTTTATAATTTCCATGGAAGTGCTTTTTTTTTTTTTTTTTTTCAAATCTCTCAAAGAAAGCTGTTTTAGTGTTTTTCTAAAAAGCTAAAAATAGCAGCTTCTGAATAAAAAAGCTCTAAAAAAAGCTGTTTCATAGAGTTACTTGTTTTAAATTTAAACAAAAATGTTTGACTTGAATAGACTTCCAATTCAATCAAGCTATACTAGCCAGCATTTATGTTACTCAAGGAGTGTAATTTAGCCAAGAGAATTACCACCTTTCATTGATTCTTTCAGCAGCAATAGCTAGAATAAGAAATTTTGGAGTTTTTGTGCATAGTTGCCTATTTGGTTATTTCTTAGGTTGTTCATGGGCTTGGAATGGTTTTGGTATCAGATGTTTTGTTCATTTGATCAGTAGTGGGTTTTGTGCATTGAACCTCTAGGATCATTAGGACTTTGGCTATCAAAAGTTATGGGAGATGCTATGGTGAGTCGTGATATGATGCTATGTACAGCATTATAATCCATATGATTGGAGTGAATTAGGAGGATTTGCTTTCTTCCTTATTCTTATTCTAATATTTTCCTCCTTTCTTGATGAAACCTTTTCCCTATTCTACCATCTAGCTGAAAAGGAAGATAAACTATGGAAGAGGTAGAGGCTTAGAGAGAGACTGGATATATTTTCCTTCTTCTATATTTTTAAATAAAGCTTTTTAATTTAAAACAAAAGTCTCTGAGGTTTGTGATTCCAAGGCAAAACTTTTTCTTGTGAAATGAAAGCTTTGCCTGGTTAGAATTTTCTTGACTTACGTTAAATTTTATTTGAAGCAGATAATGCCTTTCCCTAACTTTGTATCACAATTCATGAGCAGTTAGAAAGATTAGGCCATTGGATATTGTAGAAAAGAAAAAAAAAGGAAATTGGTTATCTGAAAATCATAATTTATGAACTGAAATTAATAGTTTATTCTGTTGCATTTAATTAAATCTTTCATTTGTAACTTTCTGGCTGTAGGTCCAAGTATTCACCGATCATGAAACCTTTCGTTTGATGGGTAAGTCTTTTGTTAGCCTATGCATTTAGCACTAGTTACATTTACTCCCCCATTCCTTATTTTTTGTTGTGCATGTAAGCTTATCTTCTGGAAAGGAAAAGGATATAATCTATTAATCATTTGATTCTGTATTTCATTTTCAGGTAAAGAGCATGCACTTGTGATAAGCAATCACAGAAGTGATATTGATTGGCTTGTTGGATGGGTTTTATCTCAGGTGATTGTCTTATTTGGTATGACCTTGTCCACATCTTCAATGCAAGCAAATCAACACAAATTCACATGTTTATCAGCACAAGTAGTTTATTTGCTTCAATAGTTTGAGTTATTTGTTATTATCATACTAGAAAAAAGGACACGTATTTAAGGGTTACTTATGGGTGTGCTATTGTATAAGTAGTCACTATAACAAAACATGGTACTCTTTGATTTGCTAATTAGTATTTTTGTGACATTTATATGGTTTTTGCTTCAACTGCTGATTGGTTATTTAACATTATTCAACAGCGTTCAGGTTGCCTTGGCAGCACTTTAGCTGTGATGAAGAAATCATCCAAGTTTCTGCCGGTATATGCTTCACTGTTACTGTTACTTCCGAAATGAAATTATTGTCATTACGAAGAAATCACCTAAAGGGTGCACCATGCACCTTAGAGGATCTTAATTATGGAAACAGTAACACCTAATTCTCTTTTATAGGTTTTATTTTCCCTCATCTTTTCAAAACAGTGATTATAAGCACTCAAGTATACATTCATGTTAGGATTTCCCAGTTAGATTATTTTGAATCTAGTGAAGTACTGGGTACAGTTTACCTTCTTGGAAGTTATAAATACTTATTCTTTTTAATAAACTAGGAATAATTTTGGCTTATACTTACAATTACAAGTATGATTTTGTACTTGTGATATCTCAATTATTTACCATGAAATTGGGATATATGCTAAGTTCTACGTATGCAGGTCATTGGCTGGTCAATGTGGTTTTCTGAGTATCTTTTTCTGGAGAGAATTTGGGCCAAAGATGAAATCACTTTAAAGGTAGCTTACTAAAATATAATATTTATATGTTTAATGCTCATAAGATATGACATACATGCGTGTGTTTGTCGAATGACTCGGATTGATGTCTTCTTAGTTTTTACTTTGTGCAACAATACATATAGCTATAAACTGTCTCAGTACATAAACTGTTTGATTTCATTTAGGAATCTCATTTGAATGTTATCATATCTGCAGTCAGGCCTTAAACGGCTGAGTGATTTCCCTCTTCCCTTTTGGTTGGCTCTCTTCGTAGAAGGAACACGCTTTACACAGGCCAAACTACTAGCTGCTCAGGAATATGCAACTTCCACTGGATTGCCTGTTCCTAGAAATGTTTTGATTCCTAGAACTAAGGTGAAGTATAAATATTGTCTTATTTTTTTATTTGCCTTCATCCTTCCCTTGCTTTTCCTTCCATAGATTGGAAGCTATGCTGTGCTAAGGCTTGGCTATCTGGCATAATTATTTGGCGTTAGTAGCTATTATAAACTTACAAATTTCTAGAACTAATCTAGGGTTTGAGTGCATCACACAAACAAGAATGATGGAATTTATTCTGTCTGATGATCTGTCAAAAAGGAAGTGTTGAGAGGGAAAAAGAACCTAAGGGACATATGATGGATTCAGTGTGTCAGTTACTGAGCAGAGGATATTATTCATTAGTACTCATTAGTACAAGGAATTACAGTTACACCAAAATTACCCTATTTACGTTGTTTCTTACAGAAAGTATTATGACCATGGAAAAGAGTACAGTTCAGAGTTTTTATCCAAACATATATATATATATGTATATATATATATATTCACCTTTGATGTAACAATCTGAATTTCTGTTTTTGAGTCCCATTAGTTAGTTATTTACCCCAAAACAAAGTCTTCTACATATTTAAAATTGTTTGATAGGCCTCATATAACTTATGCTGCATCAATTAGAAATGTAATTCTATTTTTGCTACTAATTACTAAAGCCATAAGAGAAACTTGGACATGAATAAAGTTCCAGTAACAGTTAAGTAACTTGAAAACAAGCCTAAACAATAAAAATTGTGGAGATAAAAAGTTATTAAATACTTCTAGGACTGAAAATATAGAAAGTATACCTAAAACTTTTATAATTTAAGATCCCTTAGTTATTGTGATCGAGTAAGATATTCAGAAGATTACAGCATGCCATTTCATCTTATGTGAACCAGAATGAGATAGCATGATCTTTAAACTTAGGATTTCTTGATGTTTGTGTCCTGGATCACTCTGACTGAGGCCTTGGAAAGAACAGGAATGCTTAAAGTTTTGTGGCAACGTGTAATTTCTTCATTCCTTTGGTGATTTGGATGGAGCCTTGTGCTCACATCATTAACTTTAAGGGTGCCTTATTCACCACTAAACTTGTTTTGGACAGGATTGTGTTTATTGTCTTAAAGCCTTTCTTTGATGCTTTTCTTTAGGTTTAAAGGGAGTTGCCATTTTTAATGTGCACAGCAGTTGGGCAGCTTTGCTGCATTTCCTTGTTTTTATTTGTGTTGTATTTGGTATTGTGACTTTTGTCTGTTTGAAAGGTATTTTATTGTCTCTGTAGCTGTAGTTTTCACTTTTATCTTGCAAAATTTAATTCGTTATATACTAAAATGGTTTAATAACTAGGTGGTCTGGAAGTTCACATTATATTAAATTCTCCTGCCTCAGGCTCTGTATTTTAGTCTTTACTTTAGCTTGCCTTTTTTTCCCCTCAAAATTTACAGGTAATGCATTCAATCTGACTAATTGGACTATAATAGCCTGCATGCTTGTCACTATATGTGGTCTAATTGTTTGTTTATGTGGTTTACTTTCTAATATTTGCTCTATTGTTTCTTTCAGGGGTTTGTTTCTGCAGTAAGTCATATGCGTTCATTTGTTCCAGCCATTTATGATGTAACAGTGGCTATCCCCAAGAGTTCCCCTGCTCCTACAATGCTAAGACTCTTCAAGGGGCAGCCTTCAGTGGTAAGCCAATCAAATTCTGAATCACTGTTTTCTATCAAACTGGTATTGATCAGAGTGGTTTCTGCAATAAGATTTTTTATATTCTTCGGATCCAGTTCCATCAGAAGAATTTGGAATATGTGTTTTTCTCTTTTATTTCCATGTTAAGCCACAGCGTTTCTAAGGATTTTGGAGGCAGTGCTTTTGCTTGAGGAAAATATAAAGAGAAATGGCTTGGCACTCTAGTGCACAAGTTTGAAGAACACCAGTTCATTTGAAGATTTTAGTTTTCTATTTAGACACTTGGTGCTGAATGATTAATGGCTCTTCTAGGTTGGGCTTTTGCTATAGTTGGGGTTTTCTATTTTGTTGATGCTGAAGGGATTGGATGGCTCTATTATGTTTAGTATTTGCTTTGATTTGGTCAATTTCATCAAAGAGTATCCGTAATCATTCCACAGGTTCAAGTTCATATCAAGCGGCATTTAATGAAGGAATTGCCAGAAACAGATGACGCTGTCGCTCAATGGTGTCGAGATATATTTGTGGCCAAGGTGCTTGTTGACTGAACTATTTTGCTGTTTTACTTTTTGCTCTTTTATACAGGTAATTCTGGTATAATTGTTTGTTTTTTATGCAGAACGATGATCAATGGTAGATTTTGAAAAACTATGCACAATATTTTTCTTACTGTTGATTTTCTCTGTACCTTGTGCTTTGATTGTTCAACAATATCACTCATGTTGTTTTCAATTTTACCCCTTGGCACACTAGGATGCTTTGTTAGACAAGCATATAGCTGAGGATACTTTCAGTGATCAAGAGCTGCAGGATACTGGGAGACCAATAAAATCTCTTCTGGTGAGATACTTTCTCAACATGTCTTGTCCTTTTACATTCTTATTTATCAATCAAATATATCCATTTGCCTATGCATGTTTCCTAAAGAGCCAAGAATTTCATGTTGGGAGCAGGTAGTTATATCTTGGGCATGCCTGGTTGTTACGGGGTCTGTAAAGTTCCTACAACGGTCGGCGCTGCTGTCTTCCTGGAAGGGTGTTGCATTTTCTGCTTTTGGTTTGGCAGTTGTTACTGCACTCATGCACATCTTGATTCAATTCTCACAGTCAGAGCGTTCAAACCCAGCCAAGATCGCCCCTGCAAAACCTAAGAACAAAGCGCAGCAGCCAGTGGCTAGAAATGACAAAGAACAGTAGTTTACTTGCTTGGTGCGCAAACCCAAATCTTCCATACGTAGATAGGGACTTCATCTTCAATCATATTTTGGCGAACTTCAAGTTGCATTTATGTGTGTTCAGTGACTCACGTATTACTCGTATTATTTTGCTTTTAAAATCTTATCTATGGTAACGTTCAATTCTTCTTTGTAGTATTATGTATGCTTATCGATTCATTGTTTTTAAATTAATTAGGATAACCTTGTATGAACAAACTAGGATGCCTTAGCAAAATTTTACCACATCTATTTTTTCTTTTGGCTATTTATCCACTTAACACATTTCCGTACCTGAAATTTATTACTGGATGACCTACGCAGGTGGCTATCGTCCAATGCTGTCTTCTGTCTATTTAACGTTCTAGTTTGTCTGAAAATAGTGTTTTTTTTTGTGGAAGTTTTGGCTTGATATGTTAACTTATTTTTGGTTTTATTGTTTTTTCTTTATTGAGTTTTCCTTAAATAAAATGTAATTTTGTATTCATAAAGGTTGTAAGATTGGAGGAAATCTTTGATGATAATTTTTAAAGATGATTTATAGTCCATTTAAAAATTGACATTAGGAGTGTGCATAAGATGTTAAACAAAATTATTGTTCTATGAACTATCTATGTTATGAATGTCAAGTCTATACAAAATTTGAACTTTTTTCGTTTAAATATTATAAGTTTGAACTTGTTAATTTAACCTCTCAAGAAAGCTTGAATGAGATACAATAAATCAATATCAAATAACTTACAAGTAATTCAATTAATTTTCATTGCTGGTCTAAATTAAGAAATTAATGACAACAACTAATCTTTACGAGTCAACGAAAGTGTTTTGATTTTATATATTGCACAATCGTTTTAGTCGATTATTATGGGCACTAATAATAATTTTAGAAAAAATATACAAATTGAAATGGGATCTAATGTATCATCACTATTCATAAATTAATATAAGGGACCAAATAAGTGAAATAAAATCTGTGAGGAATAAGGGCAATTTAAAAGGATTATCTACTAATCATGGGTACGTACTTAAGGCACTATAATATTGGAGAAGTGTCTGAGTGATCGCAGTACTAAACAAGAAATTGCATTTGCCCAGTTTCTTCTCTTGTTGCTTTGCGCCGTAAAGAGATAAGAAGACCCATATAAAGATTGGACCATAGGCCCACTGAGCAACGACATAGTCCTTAACCAACTCATTTTATCAATCTCCAAATCAGCACAGGAAAGTGAATACATTTAAATTCAGCTTTATGTGCATCTTATAGCTGCCAAAATATTTAAAGGACACAACACAAAGTGACCACATCTCAATTATGATCACAGAATGGGTTAATAGTTTGCGGTCTCTGTCAAAAGCTCAAAGCAACTGATGAAAATGACATCATTTTTGGACTTTTCGAAGGCTCATTGATGACTGAAAATTGCTGTTATCCTTCCTCCACCCCTTCCCATAGTAACTACTTTTTTCGGCTATTAAAAATCAAATATGAAGCTTCAAAGCATAATATGTGAGCGTGATGAAAAAAAAAAAAAAAAAAAAAGCTGAACCAAACAGAAATTATGATTACAAAATAGAGTTGGAAGTGTTTTAACTTTTAATATGCTGAAAAAATAAAAGCTCCATCAATTGATAATTATGGTTACAAATTTGGGGCTTGTTTCGATTTTGGAAACCTTTTATATATATATATATATATATATATATATATATAATTTTTTCTGTTGTTACTTTTATTTACAAAATTATTACCTTGTTTTCATTTTATTTTTAAAGATTTAAATAGAAAGCTGTAAAAATATTTTTAATGTTTCCTATGTAAATATTCAAAAACAGAAAAAAAAATGATTTTCTGGAACCAAACAAGTCCCTAAATTGATTTTTTTAATAAATTTTCAGTTAATTTTATGATAATAGAAAACCATTATCAATAAAAGAAAATAATTTTGTACCATTACAGTAAGACGTGAAAATTATATATACACTATGAATATGTTGAAAACTTTTAGATATTTAAACAAACGATTAATTAATAAAAATTAATCTGGGTTTTAATGTCAACTTGACCAAACATCAATTCAGTGTTTAATCCTTTCGTATACGAATGGACAAAAAGTAATAATGTTGAGGGGCGAAAAACGCAGAGCTTGATGTTGAGCGTTGAAGCAGGTCCTGTGTATTCGGTTTCTTCAGTTGTGTTGTTACATATACGAGCCTGATGCATGTCTGATAGATTATCTTTGATACAGAAAATGATGTCACTACTTTGTCCAAACAGTGACTCTCAATCATCGTACTTCCAATATTTAACTGTCGTCTCTCTTCCAAATTAATTTAAGTGCCATAAGTTGTCCTAATTTAGACACTCCACATTAGGAAATAAAATTTGGGTCTTAATTCGGTTACATAATAAAATCTAAAAAAGTTTATTAATAATTACGATAGATATATATTATTTTTTTATAATAACTTTTTTATTCCTTGACTAGTATCTTAAAAGTACTGATTATGTTAACATAAAATTTAATCGACTTAAGTTTACTTTTTGTTCCTCTAATTTGAGTTACATGCAATTTTGTTAATTAGTTTAATTTTTTTAGTTAATTAAGTCCCTTTATTTTTAAATTTGTGCAAATTTAGTCCCCAATCAATTTTCTTCCACTTAAAGCCTTCAGTTCTTTATTTTTTATTCAATTTTTTTTGGAGTATTTGTAATGGAATTAGAACATAAAATGATTCTAGTAAACAAAATAATAATGAACAAGATAAAATTTAAAGGATTCTGTAAGATGTGAGATTATAAAGAGTTGAAGAGGGATTTTTTTTTAATTTTAGGTGAAATTTTATTAGTTAGTTAGTTAATTTTGAATAGATAACAATTTAATCATTTCAATTTGTAAATATTTTTAATAAAAAAACTTAAAATTTAAGAATTTTAAATAGAAGAAATTATGAGAGAATAAAAGTTCATGATTAAAAAATTAAAAAAAATAATAAAAAAATTAAAAACACATAATTTAAATTAAAAGAACTAAAAAAAATTTGTAATCAAGCCAATTTACTAACGTTTATGTCATCATTAAAAAAAAAAAGCGTCTGTCAAGTTATTTTTCTAATATTATGTAACAGCTTTTCAATAAATAACTAAACGCATCCTTTACTTTAACTTTGTCAGCTTTATTTATTATTTCATTTGATATACATAGTTTATGTCAGGCTAATGATTAATACTAGTTATAAAGTCAGATGAATGTACTAAAAGAATTATTGGACAAAGCAGGGAAATGAATATGATTGCGGAAAAAGCCTTTCTTTCAAGAATAGGGCATTTTATACACACTGAAATCGTTTAAGGAGCTATAACATCTTCTTAATAATAGTTTACTGTTTATTACAACATATTTCATTATTTAGAGGAGTAAAAGAGATACTCTAATTAACTCTTACAAAACAATACAATTATAAAGTCAATCTACAATCTCATATTATTTGAATACAAAAATCATTATACTTGAAAGCAAACTAATGGATTACAAGACCAGTTATAGAAAGGTACATTAATTTGTGGGTAAAACACCAGCTGCTATCAACCATTATTGTGACTAGTTGCTATTGGATAAATTAATCTCCAACTATTGAGTTATTGAGGTTGGCATATTTTTAGCGTTATTAGTATTAATTCATGCCTTTAATTTTTAGGAAGTTTCTTAAATTCTTTAGAGATTTATCTGATTTACTTCATGAGACAGATGATCTTATGTTAAATGAACTTGTGAAATTTTATTTATAAAAAAGGTTAAATAAGAACTGATAAATTTTGTTAATACAATCTTAATTTGATTAATTTGTTTACAATGAATCTATTTCATAGAAATAGATACTGCAAATATGTCTTTCCAGCTAGATTTATAGGGATTGACAAATGCATGGTAGAGCTATTTGGAAGCTTTCAGAAGACATGGGCATGGGAACAAAGAATGATGTTTAGTTATAAAATTACTGATTCTCATCTTACAATGTAAACTCACTCGAGCTGTCTTGGAAATATAAAGGATAAAATAAGCATGGGATTGGGATCTCGATCTGGTCAACTCATACCCCTTTTGTGCTAAAATTGTTTTATTGTGTCCCCTTTAACCTGCACAAATTTTACCTCTATCATTTTGTTGAATGTATCCACCCCACGCTAGACTCCATAAATGTTTAAATTTGTTCAAACATATTCAAAATAATATTATCAAACGCATTTTTTTTTAAATTTTTTTCATGAATGACAAACCTATGCGTATAGTGCTTCCCCCACTCATGTTCTCAATGGACGATTTTGTGCTTACATGATCTGTATTTGCTCAAACAACTTCTACATGTTTTCATATTTAAAAAAGATTTTCAAGTTGCAAACTTTGTGCATCGTGAAGCTATCTTCTCATCTCAGTGAGATCGAAAAGGAAATTAAAGTGAGTTTTATTTGCTTGTTTCAATTACACTTGCCTTTATAAAGGGATAATTTTTTGTTTTTTTTTTGCATAATCAAATTTTACAATTACTTTCTCTACTATGATAAAAATAGAAAGAAGTAAAAAAATAAAGTAAATAAGTAATATCATTAAAATAAATTATTTTTATTAACATCAATTTTTAGTGTTGATTTTAAGTATTTAAAAGTGATAAATTTTATGCAATAATATATATTATACTTTAATATTTTGAAAACTGTTAACCTCACTCCTATAAGCAACTAAAAATAAATATTTTTATTGAAAAATATATTTATTACATCAAAGATTATAAAATTTAAATAAATTATATCTTCTAAATTACTATTTTTAAATATTTAAAATCAATCCCAAAATTTTAAATTAACAAAACCTTAATACTTTTTATTTAACAAATACATTTTAATGAACATTTAGCATTTTTTTTAAACACTTAAGACCAGACTTAAAAATTAATGTTAATATGTTTCAATAAAAATATTATAAAAGGTGTTATAAAAACATATTATATAAATAATACAAGTGCTAATGAGTATTGTAAAAATATATAATTTAAAATTTTAAAAGAAAGATTACAAAATTCTATTAGTATACTTTTAAAATACTTTTTAATAGATTTTAAAGCACTAATTAACAAAAATTTTATAAATAATACGAGTCAAAAAAGGGGAAAAAAAATGAAGAGAGAATTTAGTGGTCGAGTAATTATTATAACTGTGGAGACATGTTTGGAGGCACTGTTTATCCTAAGGAGCTTTCTGTGAAGACTGTAGAATTATATTCCAATCAATGCAATAATAATTGTAGATGATCAATGGCCATTTTGATTTATACCTGGGGATCAATTTTGCTTACCGTAATGAATGCAAGGCCTTTTTAACAACTGCAATTCGGATAGAAATTAGTTCTTATTGTACAAAGTTTTGAAAAATTACAAAAAATAGTGTCAGTGGATGCTCATGTTATATATATATACGCGCAATATATAAGTAAAACATTTAATTTAGTTTTTATAAAATAAAAGTTATTATATATTATAAAAGAAAATAATT